GCTGAGGGGTCCAATCAGGGGTCTGTTCCGGGCAAGGTGGAGAATGGGGAGGGGCAGCTGCAGCAGGCCAACCCCTGACATTAGATGCCACGGGCCCCCCAGCAGCCCTGTGGGCCCACCCCACCCCTTCAAGGGCTTCTGAAGAGCCATTGAATTCACAGGTAACAGTGAGGAGACACAGTGGGTTTTGCCAGCCCAGTTAGAGTGTGTGGTCCAAGGAAGCAGTCGGGAATGGAGCCTGACAGGGAATGAGGGCAGGGCTGAGGAATGAGCCTGAACCACCCAGGCAGGAAGGCCAGGAAGGCCTCCCTGTGGCATGGCTGGTCCGTGGAAGAATGACCCCCCTTGACTAGGCTGAGCCTGATCATGGGGTGTCTTAAGATGTCCCCAGGGAAGGCTTACAGGACAACATTCTCACCCACGGGGAGGGGGAGGGTGATGGGAGTACATGATGACCCCACCCAAAATGGAGGAAATCCAGAGAACAGGGCCACTTGCCCCTGGACAAGATACAGAAGTACATACAGTTTTGTGTGCCAGAGGGGGCCTCTGTTTAGAAGCCTGGGCATCCTAGAGGCCCACCAAGTGAGAAGCCAGCCTGTCCTCTGATAAATGGAATATTTATAAATGGAATATTTCCTGCCATATCAATAAACAAAGGATGTCACAGTCACCAATGATTGCAGCTCTCCAACATGAGCTGGTGAGCCGTGAGGAAACTCAGGGCTGAAAAGAATACCTGCCATCTAGCAGCCATCAGACTGCAGCCACTCCCTGCTGTGAGCGCTGAGGAAACTCAGGATGTGAAAATACTGGCCCCAGATAGCTAAGGTGCATATCAAAGGAATGACTTCAGTGAGCCCAGACTCTTGCATCTTCCCATACATAGAAAAGCACTAAATTCCTTACCTTGAGATATCTGGTTCTCTTTATTTAACAACAATCTTTTGATGTTCCCAATTACCTGCTCTTTGTTGCAAAACTCCTCTACATCCTAGCTTCTCCCCTCACCTCCTTGGAGCAGTTTCTCAGAGTTTTCTGAAACGCTGTCCTCCCGGGCTGCAGTCCTCATTTTGCCCCCAATAAAACTTAACTCGCAACTCTCACGTTGTGCATATATTCTTTTTTAAGTCAACACCCCCGACTCAGTCTCACTCTTCTGAGACCCCACAGGGAGGTCCCAGGCAACGTGCTCCCAGAGGAAAGCACAGAAGGGAAGGAAGTGTGACGGGGGAGTGCTGGTTTTAGACTTGTCTGTAAAAGCATCGTATTGTCTTTTTCCCTTCTAATAAACAGGAAAATCTATGTTGTAAAGCATTTTTTGCTCTGTAGATTTTGAGATGATTGTTCTCCAATCAGCACCAGAGCAAACCTTTGTGGTCTTCTCTTTGTCCTTTGCATGCAAAGCTTGCACATGAATATGTGCCTCAGTATGAGTATTTCTCATTCACCTACATTAGCATTACATGAACCTTTAGGATCTGAAGACTTGAAAATGTATCTGTATTATTTGCTTTATATCCTTCCCTCTTATTTTATTCTGCTGTTATTTTCTTTCTGGAAATCTTTTTAGATAGATATTGTATTTCTTGGATTGAGCCTCTACATCAACTTTTCTCTCATATTTTAATCTTTTTGGATCCGCTGACTTTTTTTTTTTTTTTTTTTTTGCAGTACGCGGGCCTCTCACTGTTGTGGCCTCTCCCGTTGCGGAGCACAGGCTCCGGACGCGCAGGCTCAGCGGCCATGGCTCACGGGCGCAGCCGCTCCGCAGCATGTGGGATCTTCCCGGATCGGGGCACGAACCCGTGTCCCTTGCATCGGCAGGCAGACTCTCACCCACTGCGCCACCACGGAAGCCCGATCCGTTGACTTTTTATTTCAGCTTTTGAATTTTCTATTTTACCCACTGAGAAATGGAATATTGCCTGCCACAAAGGATGTCACAGTAATCAGCGATTGCAGCCACCACCAGTGAGCTGGTGAACCCTGAGGCAAAGAATACCTGCCTTCTAGCAGCCATCAGACTTCAGCCAATCCCCACGGTGAGCCCTGAGGAAACTCTGGATATGAAAACACAGGATACTGGCTCCAGAGAGCTGAGGTGCATATCAAAGGAATGACTTCAGCGAGCCCAGACTCTTGCATTTTCCCATACATAGAGAAGCACTAAATTCCTTACCTTGAGGTTTCTAGTATTCTTTAATTAACAGTAATCTTTTGTTCTTATTACCTGCCCTTTGTTGCAAAACTCCTGTGTATCCTAGCTACCCCCTCGCCTCCTCGAAGCAGTTCTCTCAGGGTTACTTGAGATGCTGCCTCCCGGGCTTGAAGTCCTAAAAATTTCTGTTACTCAGCCTTTAGGCTGGGCATTTAATTTTTTAGTCGACACTGTCAAATCTTTAATTTAATGAAAACCCTTTGTTCTCTAATTCTTCCTTGCAACCTGTTCTGGGTTTACGTATGTAGTTCCTCATTCTGGGGATATTACTTTATAAACTGTGCTTTTCCCTTCTTTAAATTATCTGTTTCCTCCGGCGTCAGTTTTATAATTTTATTTTGCATCTTGGTCCATCCTTTTCATCCTATCGTTTTTTTCACGTCTGGTAATCCTTGGCTATCCTTTCACATTTTTAAATGAAGAATGAGGTCACTTAATACAAAGGTTGTATTGGTTTCTCTCCTATGGAACAATTCTGCTCCCTATTAGAGCTCTCACTTGGACCAAGGGCAGACAGGGTGCTCTGTCTGTCAGCTGGCCACACTGGTGTAGGGCTTGAAGGGGAGCTAGCAGCCCCCTTCCAGTGGGGAGGCACCCACACCAACTAGGAGCCGTACTCTGTGCTTGGTGGGATCTGGGGTCACACTCTCTGTTCCCACCTGCTTCCCACTGTGGTGCTGATCTGTGCGGCAAAGGGGGCAACAGTAGTGCCTCAGAGGTGTTCTGTTAACATGAACTAATCCTAGCTCTGATCAGGGGTCACTTAAGAAGTCTTTCTATTTACGTGAATATGACAAGTGGTTGGCAGAGAGAAGCTGCAGGTGTGACGAAAGAAACGGAAGAACAGCTTCAGGGCTAACAGCACATTTTGACTTCTGTAAGAAAGTTGCTTTGCTTGCTTGCTTGGGGCAGGAAGAACCGAGTTCCTGATTGGCTGATTCAAAATTAAACAGCTCCCTCCCACCTTGGGAACTTCCCGTCCTGTGAAGGGTATAAAGGCCTCGCCCGACTGTTAGTCGGGGTCTCACTCACTTCTCTCCGAGTGGGACCCTGTCCGGACAGTTTGTGTAAGCCTCTATACTTGTCTATACTTGCTTCTATACTTGTCTATATTTGTCGGGTGTCCTTGGTTGGGACACGGGTCGCATTTACCGGGGAACTCGACTCCAGGTGTGTGGCTCCCGGACCGCAACACAGGTTAAGAGAGCAGAGCGGTGCATATGAAGTAAGTCATGGAAGAAAGTGCTGGAAGGAATCAGCACCTATATCAGATAAATATGCTTATTTTTGTAAAAAGGATCACTGGGGCTTCCCTGGTGGCGCAGTGGTTGAGAGTCCACCTGCCGATGCAGGGGACACAGGTTTGTGCCCCGGTCCGGGAGGATCCCACATGCCGCAGAGCGGCTGGGCCCGTGAGCCATGGCCACCGGGCCTGCGTGTCCGGAGCCTGTGCTCCGCAACGGGAGAGGCCACAACAGTGAGAGGCCTGCGTACCGAAAAAAAAAAAAAAAAAAGGATCACTGGAATGATCAACTAGAAACTAATAAAAATGACTATCTGTAGAGGATGGGGGTGAAGTGAAACTGGGTCCACTCCCCTGAATATACATTTTTATATAGGTCGTTAAAGCTCTTTCTTTTGAAGTATAATATACGCTATAAGAATGCACAAATCATAAGGACACAACTAGTGAATTATCACAAAGTCATCACACCTGTGTAGCCACACCTCCCTGATCAAGAAATAAAACTGTCCCCACACTGCAGAAGCCTCTTTTTTCTTCCAACAGTGACTCCCTCCCTCCTGACCACTCTCCTGACTGTTAACACCACAGATTAGTTTTGCTCACTTCCAAACCTGAAATAAATGGAATCATAAGTATATATTCTTCTCTGACTGGCTTATTTCACTCAACATTCACTGCAAGAGATCCATCATGGTGTGGTGTGCAGCCTTGCTATATGTGAAAATCTTCAACGATGATTGTAGACCTTCAATTTTTTCTTTTAGATCTGTCAGTTTTATATAGTTTGAATTTTTAAGTAAAGTTTCTTAACTGTTAACGATTGAAAACTTATTCAAATTTGTTTTGTGAAAGCTGGAGGAAGCAAAAAACTCTGAAACCCAGCCTCAGATCCTGTCTGGTCTGAGGCTGCCAGCCCCAGACTCTGCCCATTTCACTACCTTTGATCCTCTCTGTCCCTCCCAGAGATGCAGTTTCCTGGGGGAAAGGTCAGAGTTCCTGGTGGTTTGCAAGAGCTAGGAGGTCACTAGCACTTACCCTCCCCCCTCGACACAGGCCCCCTTGCCCAGAAACCCTTCCCCGCCCGGGCCAAGGTTGCCAGGGGGCCCTCGCAGGGCCAGGGGCTCACCTTGCATGCCTGAAGGCCCGAAGTCCTGCCGTGTGAGGAATATGGCGTGATCGTGGTACTCATCGTGGCCGGAGTCTGGCTTCTGCTGGAGGTAGGCCCAGCGGCAAACATTCTCCAGACTCTGAGAGGGGTTCCCAATCTCAATGAGGCTCAGGGACTGCAGGGGCAGGAGAGACAAACAGAGGGGTTGGCATCTGGTGGTCCTGGTGGGAGCTGAGCAGACCCCATCTACCGGGGACCTGGGCCGGGTGGCGCTAAGCCCAGTCCCTTCTTAAGACCCCCTCCCACTTGGCTCCATTCTCCTGAGTGGATGGAAAGGCTCCCTGGCCTTTCCACATACCTGCACGAGTTTCCACACAAAGTCACTGCACAATTTCAGGTGAGACGTGGGAGCCACGCTCTGAGGCCATCTAAAGCCTCAAAGAGTCCATTCAGCCCACCTCACCTCCAGGGCCCCTGCATCCTATTCAGCCCCTGCTCTGTGCAGGCCCTGGCCAGGAGGCAAATGCAATGAACCTCGGTCACCCTGAAGAGCTTACATTCTGGCAGGCTCCAGGACAGGGGAGACAGAACTCCCAGTATGGCTACAAGCCCAGAGAAGGGGAAAGGGACACTGTGCTTTCCCCTTGATAGAAGCTATTTGCAGAAAACAACACAAGGGAGGGAAAAACCCTGCAGCAGATACAGCAAAGGAGCCACATAAGGAACAGGAGCACAGAGATAATTCCCTCAGGATCCACGGACAGGAAGCCACTGGGAGCAACCACATTCCATTTTGTGTCATGACGCATACCTACTAGCCAAGGCTGGCTGCTGGACTGGCAGCACTGCAGCCTGATCTGCACCATGGCATTGGCATTCACTCTCTCATTCAGTCTTCACAACTACCCGAAGAGGCAAGAAACTGAGGCTCAGAGAGGTCAAGTAACTTGCCCCAGGTCACACAGCTAGGAAGCCTGAAACCAAAGTTTATATTCAATCCACTGCCCTAAACTTCCTCCACAAATAAAACATACACCGTATCATCTCAAAATCGAGTCTCCTATAAGCTGGACTCATCCCTCTTCTCTCCACAATCCTCACAGCAGACACTCCAGTTTCTGCTCTCACCACATACTCCCACCATCAAAGTGGTTCCCTCTAGGCAGAGAGTACTGGGCACGTTCTTTTCCACTTTAAGGATACATCTGTCATAAAGTAGAACTATGCATTCTTTGGTAGACACGTAAGCAGGTGTTTTGTCTCTTCTCTTGCATAAATATATCCATCAACCAGAGCCACATATTTCTCTTTTTGTGTATAAGTAGCAGAGAGTAAGATATAGGGTATTGTTAGTAAGCCAGCATGTTACAGAAGAAGGAAGAACGATTCAAGGCCAGGGCGGACTAGTCATTGCCAGACATCTCGTGAGTTACCCAAGTCAATGGTTTACAAGATGGCAGACCAGTTCCCAAGTCCTAAGCACAGAGCCAATTGCTCCTGAGAGATGAGATTACTTGTTTTAATAAGATATAGTTGAGGGGCTTCCCTGGTGGCACAGTGGTTAAGAATCCGCCCCCTGCCAAAGCAGGGGACACAGGTTTGAGCCCTAGTCTGGGAAGATTCCACATGCCGCAGAGCAACTAAGCCTGTGCACCACAACTACTGAGCCTGCGCTCTAGAGCCTGAGAGCCACAACTACTGAGCCCGCATGCCACAACTACTGAAGCCCACGCACCTACAGCCTGTGCCCCGCAACAAGAGAAGCCACCGCAATGAGAAGCCTGTGTGCCTCAACGAAGAGTAGCCCCTGCTCACCACAACTAGAGAAAGCCCGCGCACAGCAACAAAGACCCAACGCAGCCAAAAATAAATAAAATAAAATAAATAAATTTTTTTAAAAAAGATGTAGTTGAGTCCTAATGAAGTCAGTCATAGACTGGAGAGAGAGGTCTGGTGGCTGGGACCTGTTAGGCATTGGCACAGAGGTGGACAGCCCAGAGGATGCTGGAAAAGGGGAAGGGAGGTACACTCCTGCCCCCCTTGTGATTCAGAGAAGCATGTGATGAGCTCTGGCCAATTAGCTGTGAGTAAAAGTGACGTGTGTCTCTTCCCGGTCCAAGCACTTAATTGCCCACGTGAGCGCCTCCAGAGAGCTCTCCTTGTTGACATGTGAACCAGCATGTTGAGATGGTAGCTGCTCTGTCACCTAAGCCTTGAGTGACAATGAGACCAGAGTCCTCTGCCAATTCACAATGAACATACAAGTGTGAGGGGGATATCAATCTTTGTTGCTGTAAACTGCAGGGACATGGAGCTTGTTTGTTCCTGCAGCACAGCACGGCCCACCCCGCCTGACACAGAAAGGGCAAAGGAAGGGGACATGGCATCTATATCTCATCCAAGCAGGTCAGCTCAAGACCCTGCTGGGTGATCACTGCCTCCAGAAAACCTTGAGAGGCCACAGCTCTGGAGGAGGAAGTGAGTGAAAGACTCTCCTTTCTAGGGAAGGACCTTTGGGTGGAATGAGAAGGGACCCTCATGGGTGGATCTGATTTGGTGCTTGAGTATGGACCCCACTGGGCTTCAGATTGCCACCCCAAGTCCTGACCAGAGGGTGATCACAAAGGCCACTGATGACCACTTGATCAAGGATGGCCGCAGAGCCCCCACTGGAGTGGGACTCCCCCGGCTCCACAAAGCCCAAAACCAGTTCAGAGCCTTGTTAGTCCATCTCCAACAAAAGGGCCTTGTTTCCCTCAGGGCCATGTCTCTCAGCCCAAACATCAGGGGATTGTTCCCCTGGTAGATTGCAGCTACTTTTGCCTGGGCTCTTCTGACAACAGCAGCCCAGTCCCCCTTTGGTAGAATATCCTCTCTGTTAATCTGGGTCTGACCCTAGGCTCAGGGGTGGGAGGGCTCAGGCCCAGCCAACCCCACCCTGCACCTTCCCAGCAAAGGATGGTTGGGGCCAAGGAGTTGGAAAGGTGTGAGACTGCGAGCCTGGAGCTGCCACTAGGGGAGGAGACCCCAGGGGAGGAAGAAACCAGCATAGATAGAGCGGGGCCTGGGGTGGAGAGAGGTCAATTCCTGGTGTCTTCACACAACCACCTGGCTCCCCCAGGCCTGTTTGTTATCTATTGCCACAAAATGAGTTACTTCCAAACTTTATGGTCTGAAAAACCTCAAACACTTATCTCATGGTTTCTGGGTTAGGAATCCAAAGGCAATCTAGTGGGGTCTTCTGGCTCAAGGTCTCCCATGAGAGTGCTGGCAGCTGAGACTGGGGCTGCAATCTCATCCGAAGGCTCCCCGGGGGAAGACCCGCTCCCACATTCATTCACGTGGTTACTGGCAGGATCCAGTTCCTCACGGGCACATGGACCTCACCACAGAGCAGTCACACGGGGCAGTTTGCTCCCCCCAGCACGAGTGACCCAAGAGATAGCATGATAGTGCACATCCAAGACAGAAGTCTCAGTCCATTTAGATGCAAATCTCAGTCCTGCCCATACCCACAGGGAGGGGACCACACCGGGGAGTGAATACCAAGATGTGGGCTCACTAGGGGCCATTCTAGAAGCTGTCTGCAGCAGATATGTGTCTCATATATTGTGTGTCAGGAAATTCCTCCCATGAAAGTCAATTTGAGTTGTGTTGTTGTCACTTGCAGCTGAAAGAGCATGAGTAGGGGACTTCCTCCTTGGAGAATCGTGGGAAGCTCAGTCAAGGGCACTGGCTGGCAAAGGAAAGCCAATGGCTGTTCTCCAGGGTCCAGCTGGTATGTCCAACACCAGTGGGAGAGAAGCTCTGGTCACATCTTTGACAAGGAGTCAAGAGCCCAGTCAGAAAGACACACTGTGTCAGGGCCAGAGAGCAGAAATAAGGCCATGGAGTTGGGGACAGAGCCAAAGGCTGAAACAGGGTGAGAACAAACAAGCTGGGGGCTCAGAGAGAGGCCTGACTGCTCAGCGGGTGGGCTCGTGGGAAGTGCTGGGTGGCGTTGCAAACCCAAATGCCCACAGGCCAAGGCCGGTGATGTGAGTCAGTGAGGCAGGTTGGTTCTAAGAAAAAACGAGTCTGTTTTTTATTTGCCAGTTCAGAAGGGGTAAGGTTACAGAAGAGTATTTCCCTGTTATGGTAAAGAAGTTGGGGGGATAAGGAGTGGTGAGGACTGTGGCCAACCAAGGAGCCCACGCCCAGCTGAAGGGGCAACAACACTCGGCGCCAGCCCCATCGGCATGGCATGCAAGGACAGAGCCCAGGGCTGCCAGATCTGACTACTCAGGCCAATGTTCACATTTTACAAAGAAGCGTACCTCCTGGAAAACACTGACTCAAGTTAAAATAAGTTCTATGGACAAAAGAAAACACATCTCTCAGGTCACCAGGTTGAGAACCCTGCAGAAAAGGCCTTAGCAGTTTGGACCCGACACTGGTACACTGGCGAGCGCCTCTCGCCTCCCAGACACCAGGCTCCTGGGTTCAGCCCAGGTTCCCAGCCCCTCTCAGCAGCCACCGTGATCTCACTACTGCGGCAGGATAGGAATTTATTGAAATATTGATTTGCGTTTTGTTCTTGCCTTGTCTTCCTTCCTCCACTCCAAGAAACAGCCTGCCACTTCCGTTCTTCAGCCCCATGGGGGTTTGCGTTGCAGGGTCCAGAGCAGAAGTTGTCTGGGACCCCCTCCTGGCTTTTGGGTTCTGAGGAGACTCCCCAAGAAGAGGGGCAGAGAGAAGGGTTTGGAGGGGCTACACCAGGACGAGGTGGCCCTGGGGAGGCAGGTCACAGAAAACAATGGCCACGCGCTGGGCTCTGGGAACCTGCAGCCTAGACAGGACCCTGAGACATGGAGGAGGAGGGCGATGTCAGTGTTCCGGCATCCAAGGTGCAGAGCTGCTATACTTCCTATTTCTCTGCTCATGTCCCAACTTTCTCAAGGATCTGACCCATCTCAGATGGCCACCAAGGAGCTAAGGGCTGGGATCCTCATAGGGTCTGGTGAGTTCAGGAGGGTGCAGTGTGCCTTGTGCTCTGTGGCAGGTGCCAGACGCATGTTCATTTTAGAAAGAGCTCTCTGAGTCAGTGAGGAGGGAGGGGGGAGGGGAGGGGGACAGTTGCTGAGATGGATGGGGGTGTTGTCTGGTGTAATGTCAGCAGTCAGGACCACGGGATGG